TCATATTAATTATAATGTCAGCGTGCGATAATTCGAGATTTTCAGTCGTACTTGACTGGTAAACTCTGATTATTATTGCCTCTTACTTGAGCTGGTATAAAAACTTGAGACTCAAGGTTTACTTACTCTTTGGAATGATGTCCATAAAGTACAGGTTTCTGTAAGGTATTCATTCAATAACCTGAATCTACAAATTAGAACGAGAAGGACGACAATTACGCAAAACACCAGAATTGACTCCAACATTCCCATCAGTCCAGTCATGTTTCATGCCCAGACATGTCAGACGTATGCATGACCTAATATATACCTTTACGTAGGCCTACAATATGCGGTTATGAATACCATGGGCTTGGTAAGGTCGTATGGTACCAGAAAAATGCGCGTACGTTAAGATAGCAAGAGTTTCGCGTATCTTCGTGGTACTTGGTTGAAAACAAAGAACTACCAGTCCGTAATATTGGCGTACCTCTGCTATGCTGGTATGCGAATTATCGCACCCTGTAATGTTTATTTTAAACACGACTACACGCCAATTTTGTTTCACTAACTACACGCAAACGTCCGGTAGTTTGACTACACGCAAAAGTCGTGCAAGTTGACTACACGCAAACTTCGTGTAGTTTGACTATATATAGAAAGGGTGTAGCAGTTAGCGTGTAGTACATGGAGTTTGTGTGTAATCTACGTTGCGTGTACACGAAGGCTACACGCAATATAGTCCACGAAGGGCGTTACAATACTTCAGGACGGCACTGTAGGAGTCTGTCCATTTCATGTGGAGGCTTAGTACAAAGATGCGATTTTATCTCTGGGAATAATAGCATTATTCTGCAATAAAGAATGATGGAAGAACATAATGCAAATCTAGGTCCTTATACATTCAATGGTATCTGATTGTTCAGAATAGGCTTACTATTAACTCAATATTGTGTTTTCTACAGCGCAAATATATCAGAGAAATTACAGTAGAGAGAGCCCGAAATCTTAAAGGCTTCTGGAGTTTATTTTACACGTGGAAGACAAATAAATGGCCAAACGGCATTTCTCCAGAAGATTGCAATATCCTTCACCACGAAGATAGAATTAGCTATCAAGAAGAGTAGTAACATTTTTAAATTATAATACCATTCCATTTCTTGACATTGTTAAGAAGTCCCTGACTGTTTTCCTACATCTAAAGCCCGAATGAAAGGGCATGAGTATCGGCAGTTAGGAGACCTTGGTTTGCTATTCTATTGCTTTGGAACACTCATGAATAAACTTAAACTTTGAATAAAATGGGTCCAGAGTCACTCGCAAATCTTTTTACCTATAAAAGTGAGGTGACAAGTCACAAACTTCGGGATATTTCCAGTGGTCTTTGTTTGCCACAACATCGAACTAATAATATGAAAAATAGTTTCATGTACGACGGTGCTCACATATGGAATTCTATTCCAAGCGAAATTAGGGAGTGCAAATCCTTATCATGTTTTCAAAATAAAATTTCTACTCACATTTTTAATTAAAACAAGAACCTAAAACAACCTTAAATATAAACCTGTAAATATATATAGATTTACTTAGATTTACTTAGATTTAGCTGATATTATCTTTTGTAATTAGCTTTTGTAAATCAGCTTCGGTTGACAGGGTTAGCGTGGGTAAATAAAGTTTTTACTACTACTACTACTCATGATTCAAGAAACCCCTTTGTTAACGTAGAACTTAAAATGTCCCATGATGTGACTATTTGTGACTGGCATGCAAGTGCCAACTCTAACTCTCATCAACTTTCATTATTGTTTGACCAGGGTTTCATTGATAAAACTCTAATACAGCGTTCGTGCAGCTCCTTGAACTACTTGAAAAGTGCTTAAATTGAAAAATCGATCTCAAGGGCACTTGAAAAGGCGCCCTTGAAAATACAAAATCTGTTAAAAGACTTTGAAAAGTGCTTGAAAATCACTTATATATTAATAAATAATAATTAACAAAGTCTCTTAGTTTACTGATTTTCCCATCACTGTGACTGTCAACACATGGACAGCGAGCTCTGAAATTCCTCAGTATTCCCTAACATTCCGCTACTAAAATCGCGTCAAAACAGCGACCACATCTCGAATGTCGTGATGTCGACATCAGAGAGGTTGAGATTTTTACTCCCTGTCGTTACCGCTGACTGGCACTGTAACATCTGATTTGTTAATCGGGAAGATTAATTAAACGTATCTGATTGTATACAAACAGACATAAAATGCATAAATTAGTCTACCCGTCCACACGTGTCCGGATTCGTTTCTATTCGCAAACATTTTGTTGCGGTTTCAAAACTTATTACAAAGTTTATTTTTCGTCAGTGATTAGTATAAAAGCTCATGTAATTTCCCGAGCCCCGCTAATAAGCGAAGATCCTCCATCGGGAGTTAGTATCGGCGGTTGGGAAAATTACATTTTTTACATTTTTCCTGTGTTTAGCTCTATCTGTCTTTGCCTTTCAAAAGCAGACATTGGCAATAGCTTATTTTTATTGACAATACTTTTAATTCTGCTAACTGCCGACGAAGGGCCTTCGGCCCAAGCGTATAAATTTCCCCTATATTTTTCTGGTACTTGCATCTCTACCAGCGAAATCTTGGTCTGAATTGATCTCATTACACTATAGATTATAGTATACTTAATTATACTGTTCACTAAAAATTATTTAGAAACAAAAAAATTGACTTACATGTAACATGTAATAGTTAAATTTATTATTGTTATTTATATAATATACCGCGTGGTTGGGGAAAAAAGGCCATAGACCTTTGTGGTATTACTTCAAATGCAATTTCCAAACTTTCTCTTCCTCGCGCCACTATCGCCAAGGTTAATATTTATGTAATTTCTTCACCAATTTCTAAAAACCGGAGCTAAATCTTTGAAGCTTGAGTCTTAGATGTTTTTGCGACTAATTCTCTTAGTAAACTAAAGTTTAGCAAAAAGCGTCTTTGCCTGTTAATCCAATCTGAGATCCAGTCAATTTCGTATTTCATTTCATTAATATCAACAATGCCGTTGTAACTTGTTGGCAGATTTCGTATACAGGCTTGTAAATACAGCACCGCTACAAGCTGCTGGAACAAATTTATTATACAATTTCCCGACCACAAAAACTCGTCAACAAGTTGTTTCAACAAGCATGATATGGCTTGAGGTCGACAAGCTTGGTACAAGTTGTTCCAACAACTTGCTACAGGTCTACATACCAACAAGTTGTAACAACCTGTCAACAAGTTGTGTCAACAAGATGTGTTCGCACCGCTTGTTCCCAGTTGTTGGCAAGTCTGGACCAAGTTGTTATCTTGTAACAAAGTTGATGAGGCCATCACGCTCGCAATAAGTTCTTCGAACAAGTCTGATATCGTCTGCACGTAAGAAGTGGTTTACAATTTGATGACAACAAGCTCGTAGCAACTTGCTAGGAACAGCCCGCTCTATTAGTATTGTTCGGAACAACTTGTAGAAAGTACGTTACCGTCATCAACTTTGTAATAAGATGATAACAAAGTGTTCGAGACTTGTCACTACAATAGGGAATAAGTAGTGCGAACACATCCTGATATCGGCTTGATAACAACATTGTTACAACTTGTTTGCAGATTTGTAAGAACTTGTGCAATTTTACGTGTGTGCAGACGTAAAAACGTACAAGTTGATACAGGTCTGCAAACAAACAAGTTGTCACAAATCTTTTCACAAGTTGTCAACAAGTTCTGTTCGCACAACTTGTTCCTAGTAGATTGCAATAACTTTGGAACAAGCTGTTGACAACTTAGAACAAGCTTGATGGCATTATCAGACCAGTAGCAAAGTTCTAGTTCTAACAAGTCTGATACAGTCACGATATAACAAGAATGTTACAAGGTTGATGACACAAGGTTGTAACAGTATTGTTATATCATGACTGTATTGGACGTGTTGGAACAACCTTGCAGCAAGTACTACTATATGAACAAGGTTGTTACATAAGTTTTTAACAGCTTGTTCCGAAACTTTTTGGCAACTTGGGACAAGCAGTGCGAACACAACTTGTTGCGGGCGACTTGTTGGCAGACTTGTTATAAAAAGTCAGATTTTTACGTGTGAAAACGCGCAGTTGTTACAGGTCTGCAAACAAGTTGTAATAAGGTTGTTATCAAGCCAATATCAGGTCGTGTTCGCACTACTTGTTCCCAGTTGTTGTGACAATTCTGATACAAGTTGTTATTATCCTGTTGCAAGATGATGGTTGATGACGGTAACAGATTTGCTCCAAGTTGTTTTAACAACTACTCACGTGCAGGCGATATCAAACTTGTTGGAGTTTGTTGACCGCGTAACCTTGCGAACACAACTTGTTGACGTGAGATTTTCGCGTGTGTGCACGCGTAAAAACACGCAGCTTGTAACAAACCTGCAGCAGATTTGTAGCTAGCAATACTGTACCAACAATTTGTCAACAGGATGTGTTTGCACTGATTGTTCCCAGCTCGCTGACAAGTTGTCAACGGCTTGTTGACAACTTGCTACAAGGTTGTTGAGCCAAACGGACAGGTTACAAGTTGTTCCAACAACTTGTTATCGTCCTGCAATTGAACGATTTGTCAACAAATTGTGAGCGACAAACTTGTATCAACTTGAAAAATGTCAGCATTGTTACAACTTGTTGACAACCTTGCTACAAGCCTGCTGCGAACACATTGATATCTTGCAGCAGATTTTTACGTGTGTACACACGTAAAAACGCACACGTTGTTGCAGGTCTGCAAAAAAGTTCTCAAAAATATGTTCCCAATATGTCGACAACTTGGGTTTCCACTACTTGTTTCTAGTTGTTGTATCAAGTTTGGAACAAGCTCTTCAATGACAACTTGATTGTAACAAGCTTGATGGCATTATCAGAGGTGTAGCAAAGTTGTTCTAACAAGTTTGATACAGTTAAAATATAACAAGAATGGTTCAATTAAGGATGGCGATACAAGGTTGTAACAATATTGTTATATCATGACCGTGTCGGACTTGTTGGAACAACCTTGCAACAAGCAGTACAATTTCAACAAGGTTGTTACAAGTTGTTAACAGCTTGTTCCAAGCTTGTTGACGGCTTGTTGGCAGTCTTGTTATAAGATGTGAGATTTTTACCGTGTACACACCCAAAAACGCGTAAGTTGTTGCAGATATTCAAACAAGTTATAACAAGGTTGTTGTCAAGCCGATATCACGATGTGCTTACGTTCGCACTGTTTGTTCCCAGTTGCTTTGAAAAGTCTGGAACAAGTTATCATCGTGTTACAAGGTTCGTTACCGTAACAGACTTGCTACAAGTTGTTCCAACAAGACTAATACAGGCTGTTCCTAACAAGTTGCTAGGAGCTTGTTGTCATCAACTTGTTAACAACTACTGACGTGCAGACAATGTCAGGCTTGTTGGAACAACGTGTTGCGAGTCTGTTGGTCTCATCAACCTTGTTTCAAGATGATAACAACTTGGTCCAGACTTGTTAACAACTACTGACGTGCAGACAATGTCAAGCTTGTTGGAACAACGTGTTGCGAGTCTGTTGGCCTCATTAACCTTGTTTCAAGATGATAACAACTTGGTCCAGACTTGTCAACAACTGGGAACAAGCAGTGTGAACACATGTTGTCGACAAGATGTGAGATTTTTACGCGTGTAAATGTCGACAAGGCGTGAGATTTTTACACACAACATACGCACAAGCCTGCAAACAAGTTGTTACAAATCTGTTCACAAGTTGTCAACAAGTTGTCTTCGCACTGCTTGTTCCCAGTTGTTGTAAAACGTTTAAACAATTTCTTAACAACTTGTAACAAGCTTGATCGCATTATCAGATTTGCTATAAGGCTGTTCTAACAAGTCTGGTACAGTCGTGATATAACAAGAATGTTACAACGTCGACGACACAAGGTTGTGACGATATTGTTATATCACGACTGTATTGGACTTGTTGGAACAACCTCGCAACAAGTCTGATAATATGAAAAAGGTGGTTACAAGTTGTTAACAATTTGTTCCAAACTTTTCGACAACTGCAATTGGGACAAGCAGTTGACACAACTTGTTGACGGCTTCTTGGCAGACTTGTTACAAGATGTGAGATTTTCGCGTGTGTACACACGTAAAAACGCACGACTGTTAACGAACCTGTCGCAGACTTGTAGCTAAGCTAGCAATAACTGTTCCGACAATTTATTTATGTGTTCGCACTGCTTGTTCCCAGCTTGCTGACAAGTTGCCAATGGTTTGTTGACAACTTGCTACAAGGTTGTTAAGCTCAACGGGTTGTTACAAGTTGTTCCAACAACTTGTTAT